GTGCTGAACTCAATCACCTTTGCAGGTTACTTTGTTTGAGAATACTGTCCTTGATGTGTTAAAGTTCACTGAGCTACATCTATGGTGTTTGTTGTTAAACATTTCAGCTCATATTATCCTAGGGAAAAACAATATTCCTTTGGAATCCTATAGTGTGCACCAGCAGATATGAATTTACAGATCTACTGACCACCGTTTGAAAGGCTAGGCTATAAACATCCTCATTATTGTATTTTCTAATGCTGTTTTAATTTCCACTTTCTCCACCATGGTTGTCAGGGAAAAAGAGTACCCTCGGTAAGTTAAACTATGCTGCTCTGATTCAAAGGTGGCCGAAAACTGTTATCCTACATACCAGATCTTCCCTTGAATAAAGGAGATAGATTTTTCTAACACTGACACCCAATGGAGTCATAGAAAGATCCCTGATGACACCATAATATCCACACTAGGGTCTTAATGTAGTAAGGCACGACACTGTAAGTAAATAATATGAAGACATAGAAGCAGCTTACTTGCATTTAGGAACAATAAATGCAAAAGATAGTTATCAACATGTGTGTTTGCAGGTGCAATTAACAAGTTACAAATATAGTTATTTTCCAAACAATTTGCAGTATTTGTGAAACATGTAGTAGCTGAAGCTGACCCAGGGACACCTAAATTGTTTTCACAAGTGTCTTTGCTTGGGTATTGCAATGCCCAAAAATTAGATGCCTTCCCTCTAGGTACCTAGAATCTGTATTCAGTCTAACTGTTCCGATTACCACTTCCCCAGACCAATCCAGAGCACCTAGGTGCAGAGCAGGGAGGCATCAAGAGGAAACGCTAGGCCCAATGGTGTGTGTGAACTCCAGGGCTAGAGACAGACATTACACTTGAACCAGTTTAAGTGATCAGAAACTGGTTTAAATCTGTAACAGAACAGACATTCAGTGTGCATAAACCAGTTTGAAAATGGCTGAAACTGGTTTGAGATAAACCTGGCTGAATGTAGTATCAGGCTTAACTGATTTGGCTCAAACTGGTTTATGCAATGTCTGTCCCAGATCCCTTCCTGGTTTAAGTTAAACCAGACTCCCCCAGCATCCCAGCATGCTCTCTAGGCTGAGCTCTTTGCTCCAGCCCAGCTGGGCTGGCCCCGCCCCTCTGCTTCCCAGCTTGAGCAGGGACAGGCAGAGGTAGAGATCTGGCCAGAAAGGGTTTTAATTCCCCCCTCCCTGTGCCACGAGCAGGGACCCATGTCAGGTCTGCTGGATGCTCCTTTCTCACTACTGCAGCAGCAGGGCACCATGGCCCCTGAGGCAGAGTGGGGCAGGGAGGAGGGTTAGTCTCCCCTCTACAAAACTGGCAGCTGGGTCAGCCCACCCTTACTTCCACACTCACTCCCTGCAGGGGAATAAGTCCCCTGCTGTTCCCTCCAGACTCTGGAGGAAAGTGGAATAACCCCCATCCCTGCCCCCCACAAGAGCCGTGGAGGATGGTGTCTTGCCATGCCCCCACCCAGTGGCTGCAGAAGAGGGGGCTGGGCCCTTGGTGGGGGCAAGAGCCCCTGTCAATGTTGGGAAGCGCAAGCCCCTTCCCAGTGGGGGGAGGCCCACTGTGGGGTGGGCGGAGCTGTTGTGGGCTGCATGCAGCAGCACTGGCCACAGCCCCCTCCCTCCCCCAGTGCTGCCATCACCACCCGCAGCAGTTTTCCTTGCTCCACAGCGTCCCGCCCCACCCCCTTCACAGTGGCTCCCCCTTCATCACACCAGCAGCTGGGAAGGGGCACGGCCAGATGCTACCAACTGGGCAGATCCAGCCCACGAAGGGGCTTTGTCTGGCTCCTGGTGGGTCCCTCAGTGCCACCGGGTTGAGGCACCATCACCTGGGCACACAGCTGGGCTGGGGCTGCTCCGCAGCAGGACTGCCTTTCTAGGCAGCACGGCCACTGCAGCTCCTTTGCTGGTGTGGCTAGCCCCAGCCCTGTGGTACATGCAGGGACCCCAGTGCTCACAGCCCTGACCCCATGCCCCCTGTGCCATCTCCAGGCTCACTCATCTGGGCTGAGCAGCAGCGGTGGTGGAGAGAAACTGCTGCTCACTGCAGGTGCAAAATCAGCCCCTCCCCCTCCTGCTGCTGGCACTTCCTGTTGCAGGTGCCTGAAGCCTGCAAGGGGCTTCCCGGCCCACCTGCTGCCACTTCTCTGTGCTGGGGCAAACCTCCTCCCAGCAAGAAGGGGCTTATTCAGCCATTGGTCCCAAGCACAGGCTGAACAGCAGCTGCAGCCAGGCGAGCACACCCTGCTGCAGTGCAAGCAGCCTCTCTGTGCTTGGGGCAAGCCCCCTCCCAGCAGGAGGAGCTTATTAAGCTGATGGCACCACAGCAGGGTCTTCCCAGCCCAGCCGCAGGGAAAGCTTGTGGAGGGATTAATGGGGGGGGAGCAACCACTGGCTGGGAGCCCAGAGGCTGAAAGTTAACCCCTCCAGGACTGCAAGTGTTTGGAGCCGACAGCGCAATAAGTCCCCTCTTGTTGGGAGAGGACTTTCCCCAGCACAGAATGAGTGGTTGGGGCTGGGCTCTGTCCCCACCCAGCAGCGAGCAGTGAGTGAGGTGACAGGCTACCCCATCACAGTTGCCCAGAGCACGAGTCCCTACCCAACAGGAGGCTGTGCCGTGGGGCTGGCAGAGCTGCTGTGGAAAGCAGTGGTGCTGCGAGGGCATGGCTAGGCAGGGCGCCTGGGAGTGGGGGAGCAGGGACGGTGTTATTCCTCCCCGCTCCAGCCTCTGGCGAGGGGACAGGCAGGGAGTGCTTCAGCGACAGCAGGAAGACCTGGTTGCCAGTGGGGGTTCAGGGTAAACTAACTCTCCTCTCTGCCCCCCTCTGCCTCAGAGGCCATGGTGCCCAGTGCTGCAGCAGCAAGGGGTGGGGAGCACTGAGCAGACCTGGCTCTGGTCCCTGCCTGTGGCACAGGGTGGCAGGAATTAAACCCCTCTCTGGCCAGTTCAGCCTGGGTTAGCCATGCCCCTCCCATCACAGCTTCCCTGCAGCTGAGGGCATGCTCTAGCACCTCCCGGCACCTGGCCTGCATTGTCTCAGTCCAATGTGAATGTCTTTCCTGTTACAAACTGGTTCAGCCTAGGCAGGTTAGACTAATCTGCAAAGGTGTAATCAATTTAGGCTCTGGCTTTTTGAATGTCTGTCCCTAGCCTGTGAGTACTCTGCTTTATACTGCACTCAGTGCTGCTGAGATGAGCTAGGCACATTCTGTGAGCACCTAACATAGAACTCTCATGGTCATTGCCAACATGCAAATTTTACAAAAACATAGATGAGTATGTTTCAAGGCACCACTAAATATGAATAGGTCTATGTAATTAGCCATAGTAAAATCCATAGTATTGTGCTACAGCTGGGTTTCTCTTGCTTGCCTAAGTCAAAGTGGATTTGGGGAAATATACCCTTTATTAATCCAGAGATGTCAGTTCTTGGTTTTCCATTACTAGCCATATCTCAAAAATCCTTTGCTTAGAAAAGTGGATTCATTGTGCTGCAAAATAGTCACATGAAGCACTATTTCCTTACTTGATAAGTAATACATATTTTTCACTGGTGCAGTCAACAGCATGTAGCTTAACAGTATAAATATCATGATTTGCAAATCCTAAAGACCACAGTAGGTAAAAGTTAGTGGATTCACATAAGTTTTGCTTCTACAGGTCCTGAGCTTATGTATATAAAATCTGAATTCATTTGACACATAAAACGGGCTCACAGGTGGAACTAGTAAACAGAAAACAACCATCAAACTGGAAGGCCTTTTCAAAATCACAGAACAGCAAGATGACTTATTCTAATTTAATGAAACTTTGGTCATGTTTGTAAGTGTGTGCATATGGTTGCG